CCCTGCCTTGCCTTCGCGCCCATACGTGATCGGCCTGACTGGAGGAACCGGGAGTGGGAAAACCTCCATCGCTAAACTGCTGGGGCACCTGGGAGCATTCCTCATCGATGCTGACAAGCTGAGCCACGCCGTCTATGCGCCCGGTGGCCCTGCCTACGGGCAGGTGGTGGCAGCCTTTGGGACAGGTAGAGTCACCAAAGGCTGCGGGGAAGCTGTGAGGAGGAAGAGGACGGAGGGGGTGTGCCATCATCCTAGCGTCCCAGGGAGCCGTCCTGGCCTGTGCTCCCTGTGGGTTTTGGGCCCCACACCACCCAGATAGGGCTCTGGAGCTCGTTCGGTGATGGCTGGGCCCGAGCGGGGCAAACCACTGCTTTGCCCAAGTCTTGCACATCCCATGTCAGAGCTGCTGTAAACCAGCTGGCATGGAAGGCCAAACCAGGCTGCCACTTGTCTAGGAAAAGCCCTTCCCTTTCCCCTTCTGGGTAAGGTGAAGAGCTGCCGGGTCAGGTCCTACAGCTCCTTTCTGGGTCCCTTTGAGGGCCCCGTGCTGAAATCCCTTCACCCTGATCTGGGCTTGCCGCAGGGAGGTGAGTTGGATTCATTCCTCCCAAACCTGTTCTGCTTCTGTCTTGCAGAAATCGTGGATGAAGATGGGACGATTAACAGGAAAGTCCTTGGGGCCAAAGTGTTTGGGAACCAGGTGAGAGCAGCACAGAGACTGTCAATGTTTAATCTTGTGAGCGGGGAGCTCTCCATCTGTGCCGAGGCTTTTTATTTTTCAGCCCTTTGAGCTGGTGACACCTTCCTGATTGTGCTTTCTGGCAGTGACATACGGACAGGGCAGGACACAGAGATCCCGTCTCTGTAGCCAAGTCAGTGGCCGTGCTGGCCGTGCTCCTCTCGCCCTGGCAGCTGCTGCTGCATCCCCATCCCTGTCCCCCCCATCCCACCCTTGTCCTTCACCCAGCGTGGAGCAACAGCCCTGACATGTGTGGAGCTGGTGCCCTCTGACCCTTGTGTGGTTTGGGCTTGTACCCAGCGGGGCTCGGTGACGCGGCAGGAACCCCACCCCCTGTGCCAGGCTGGGTTGGCCGGGCCAGTGCTCAGCCTTTCGCTCCAGTCCCGTGGGCTGCCCCAGCCCAAGCGTGGAGGCAGCTTGAGGGGTTCCCCCAAGACAACGGGTTTCATGTGGGTGGTGTTGCGTGAGGAGCTTGCTGTGCTGCAAGGTGGGTCTTTGCAAAGCGCCTCTTGCAAGTTCTGCAGTGCCCGGCGAGGCACGGGAAAGAATAGGACAAAGAGCCTCGAGCCCGTCAGCAGGTGCGGGAGCCTCTGGCCCGTGCGGAAGCTTTCCTTCCTTGTGCTTTAGCAGGTTCTTTCTGGGTGCCCTCTGTGCTGCAGCTGCCACCAGCTTGTTGGCCACGCGGGGGCTCTGAAGGCATGTAGCCAAATTCCATTGGGGTCCTTTCTAGGAGCAGCTGAAGAGCCTCACGGACATTGTGTGGCCTGAGGTGGCCCGGATGGTCAAGGAGCAGATCGAGGAGGCAGATGCTCAAGGTAACGGGGGCAGCGCCCATCGCAGCACAAAGGGGGGAGTTGAGTGCCTGGTCTTGTGCAGCATAGCACGACCCAGCGCCCCGGGAATCTGCTGCTTTTGGCGGCAGCTTGAGTGTTTTCCATGCCCAGACCCCACTTTTCTCTGCCATGCAGCTTGCTGGGGATTTTCACTAGCACATCTCTGAGCAAACTCCTCCACTCAGCTGGGCTGGCAGCTGGATCAGGCTCACCTCACGCTTCCTGCTCTGCAGGAGGGTGGAAGTTGGTTTCTCTTTCCCATGTGCTTCAAGTTCGTTTTTGGTGCAGTGCTCCAGCAGTGAGTGTGGTGTGTTTTCCTGCTGGGAGCAGAATTTCTCCAGCTCTTGCAAGATGCTGTTGGTCGCTCCATGGGCATTTGGCAGAAGGCATTGGCTTGCTGTGCCAGGGAGACCTGCCATCCCAGGTGTGCCCTTTAAGCAAACGCAGGCTCTGCCTGCTGCTCTCTTTTGCACATGAGGTTCTTTGGCTCAGCAGTAAAGCATCTGTGCTGCCAGTTTGCAGGAAGGCGTGACTCTGCGAGTGTAAGTGGACTGGCTGGGCTGGACCCCGAGGAGCAGTCGCGCTGCCTTGCGATTGCCCGGTAATGAGGAATGGCCTCGTTCCATAGGGAAGGCCGTGTGCGTGCTGGACGCTGCCGTGCTGCTGGAGGCTGGCTGGCAAGACATGGTCCATGAGGTGTGGACGGCCATCATCCCGGAGGAGGAGGTGGGTGATGCCCCTCGGCCTGTCCCTTGCTGCTGGGGCTGGTTCTTCACTTCCCCTATGTCCCCTCTGGTCGTGCCAGGCTGTGAGGCGCATCGTGGCCAGGGACGGGCTGAGCGAGGAGGCTGCCCGCGGCCGGCTGCAGAGCCAGATGACCAACAGCCAGAGGGTGGAGCGGTCGCAGGTGGTGCTGTGCACGCTCTGGGAGCCCGATGTCACCTGCAAGCAGGTGAGCCCCGGGATGGATGCAGCACTGGGGTCTGTCTTGGGCGGGAGGGGGGAGGCAGGTGACCGTGACGGGGACCAGGGACCAGAGGGCTCAGTGCTGTGTCTGGGTCACGTGTGGTGTGTGTGGGCATGCACCTCGTCATCGAGGCTGCTCTGGACACGGCCACAAGGGACGAGTTCCAAGATGTATGTAAATGCAGTGGGGAAGGGACAGGAAGCCTGGAACCCTTGTGTGAGCTCCTGCCCCTGCATGTCGCTGGCTTGGCCGCGGGCTCTGAGGTGCTGCTCTGCACGCATTCCCT